CTATTAAGGCCCTTGATGTCTCTATTCTCTCTGTTTACATTCCTAATCCTGATGCAAATGTTTTAACAGAACTTGCAACACTTATTTCTTCTCTGTCACCTCCTATGGTTATTTTGGGAGATTTTAATATGCATCATACTGTTTGGGGCTCCCATCTGTGTGATTCACTGGCTCCCTTATTTTTAGATCTTATTGATAATTTTAATCTCTGTATTCTAAATGACGGGTCTCCTACCCGTCGAGTATCCCCATTACAAAATGTTAGAAGTGCCGTTGACCTAACTCTCTGCTCCCCAGATATTGCTTCCCTTCTTTTGTGGCAAATATTACCTTCTAGCTATGGCAGTGACCATTTTCCTATATTCATCACTCCTCCTACTTCACCTAGAATAAATTTTACATTTTGCCCAAGACTAAAGTATAATCTATCCAAAGCTAATTGGCAATTATATTCTACAGTTTTGGAACAAGAGGTTTCAACTCTTCCCCCAATTAACAATGATAATATTGCTCCTGTATATATAGAGTTCAGAAATGCAATTATTTCTGCTGCTAATAAGTCAATCCCCTTAAAAAAACCTTTCAAAAATAAGTATCCTTCCCCTCCTTGGTGGGACCAAGATTGTTCAGCAGCTTGTAGGAGAAGAAAAGAGGCTGAATTAATATACTCCCGTTCTATGACTGCAGAGAATTATATCTCCTATAAAAAAATTGCTGCAGAAACCTTAAAATTACTGTCAGACAAAAAGCGAACTGGTTGGTTTAAATTCTGTGAGTCACTGTCACCTAGGACTCCCCCATCTTTGGTCTGGAGAAATGTTAAAAAATATCGCTGTGCAGTTTCTAGTGAAAATATAATTTCTAATGATCCTTCCCCGTGGATAGATGAATTCTCTAATAAACTTGCACCACAAACAGTCCCATCTTATGATGAATGCCTAGTTTTTAATTCTGCTTTTTTAAAAACAAATGATAAATTTGATTCCCCCTTTTCTTCTCAGGAATTGTTTACTGTACTCAATGGCCTTAAAGACTCCTCACCAGGTATTGATGGGATTCCTTATTCGTTTATAATTAATAGTAGTGAGAACACTAAAACTGTCTTACTACCCATTTTAAATTTTATTTATATTACTGGTGATCCTCCTGCTGAATGGAAAACCCAAATTATTTTGCCCATTCTCAAACCAGGTAAGTCTAGCAATGACCCTTCCAGTTACCGACCTATTGCCCTTTCTTGTACTTTGGCAAAAATCTTGGAACATTTAATAAAAAATCGCTTGGAGTGGTTTTTGGAAAGGAATAATCTCTTACCTAAAAGCCAATTCGGTTTCCGAAAAGGTTTAAGTACCATGGATAGCCTAAGTACTTTGGTCACAGATATTCATATTGCTTTTTCAAAACATGAATTTCTCATAGGAGTTTTCTTGGATATTTCTTCTGCATATGATAATGTGCTTCTTCCTGTGCTCAGGCAGAAAATGCTTAATCTGAGCATTCCAGTGAGGATAGTCAATTACGTCTCTAACTTTCTCTCTTCTAGATCAATATCTATAAATGTTAAAAATCTCCTGCTTCCCCCCAAAAACTATATGGAAAGGACTTCCACAAGGCTCAGTTCTTAGTCCTCTCCTTTATTCTATATATACTCACGATTTAGAACTTTCAGTAAATTCTTTTTGTAATGTTCTTCAATATGCAGACGATTTAGCTCTATACATCTCCTTAAACAACTTCACAGTGGCATGTTCCCGTCTAAACTCATCCATGGATTATTTACAAGAATGGTTAACTAATCATGGCCTCTCTTTATCTGTGGCCAAGAGTAGTGTGGTGATCTTTTCCCGCCAAAGGCGAGTTCCCGATATATCTGTTGTATATGATAAGCAACCTATTCCAGTTAGAGGCAATGTTAAATTTTTGGGAGTTATCCTTGATTCGAAATTGGCCTTCGGTCCATACATTGAATATATAACACAAAAATGCGAAAAAAACATAAATATTCTTCGGTCTTTGTCAGGTGTTTGGTGGGGGTCCCATCCTTTTTCTCAGAAATTACTGACAATGCTTTAATACGAAGCCACCTTGACTATGGATGTTTTCTGTTGGAGCCTTGCAATAAATCATCCCTGAAAGTAATGGACAAAATTCAATCGAAATGCCTTCGCATTATTACAGGGGCAATGAAATCCTCACCAATAAATGTTCTTCAGGTTGAGTGCGTAGATCCTCCTTTAAGATTAAGAAGGCAATACCTTTCAGACAGATTCTTATTTAAGATCTGCCAGCTTTCAGATCATCCCCTAATTCCTAAATTGCATCTTCTTTCAGAGTATATCTCATCTGACCGATACTGGACCCATAAGGACTCTCCCTGCTTGTTTAAAAGTTTTGTAATTTTTCTTCAGCTTCCTTACCCAATCTTTCAATGTAAAATAAATCCACTCTTTGATGTTCCTTACGAGGCTATTGTTTACCAACCCGACATTCATCTAGATCTAGGTATAGAAAAGGATTCTCCAATGGCAAATTTGAAATTAAAAGAAATTATAGAAAACACCTTTAAAGATTGGCTTGTCATGTACACAGACGCTTCAAAACAGTCTGATGAAGACTATACTGGAGCTGCTGTTTGGATTCCTAAGTTCAAAATCATTCTTAACTTTAAATGCCCCTCACTATCCTCCACTTTTACCGGTGAAGCAACTGCAATCAGTGAAGCTTTGTTATATGTAGAGTCACATAATCTTAATAAAACAGTTATTTTCACAGATTCAAAAAGTTGTTTGTTAGCTATTTTGTCCAATCAATTCCATAACAAACATAAATTTCCACTAATTCTTAAAATAAAAAATACCCTATTCAGATGCCATCTTAAAGGAATCCATGTTTCAGTGGCCTGGATTCCAGGCCACAGTGGTATCCATGGTAACGAAACAGCTGATGTACTCGCTAAAAATGCAATTGCTAATGGCATTCTACAAAATTTAATTTACTCACATGACCTAATTTTGCTAGCTAAAAGGAAACTGAATGAAAATTGGAATAAATTATGGGAAGTTTCCAAAAATGTTAAAGGTAAGCACTATGCTGCCATCCAAGAGGTTATTCCTCTCAAGCCTTGGTTCTTTAAATTTAACAAAGCAAATAAACATGCAACTTCAATCATTTGTAGATTAAGAATTGGACACGCTTGTACACATGCACATCTGGCAAAAATCAGAGTAAGGGATAGCTCATTGTGTGAATGTGGCTTAGATGAAGGTTCCACAAACCATATTTTTTTCAACTGTCCCAAATTATCCTCCTCCCTTTATGATTACCTTCCTCCTTATATTCCTCGACCTATAGATTTTAATTCTCTTTTAACATATACCAGTACTCCTTTTGTGTATATTTTATGTGATTTTATTACTACTAATAATATGAAACTTTAAATCCTTGTCACTTTTAACATACGGGTAAGAGTCTAACACCTGTGTTTGTCATATTTGTTCTAGGTAATTCAACAAATAGATTTGTCAAAATTCTCGGAGGAAAACTGAATCCTTGTATTATCACAGACTCTTATTTTAATTAAACTCATAAGCTTTCATTTTCCACTCAATACGTCATTGGCGAATTTTATCAAACCGCCACAAAAGAAAGAAGAAAGAAAGAAAAGAAAGAACTTTGAAGGTTTATTGGGCATATACATGATAAAACTACAGCGTCCCCGAAATGCAACAAGCTGTTCGGCAATAGTTAGTCGCTCATTGGGATTATAATTGTTTTACAATTGGAAATGAACTTTTCTACAACATCACGTATAGCTGCAATTTTATCTAGTGATTGTCTTTGAGGTCGGCTTGTGACGTCATCAAATCGAACAGTATGAAGGAGAAATCGAAATATATTCAACGACATAGTCAAATAGACTAATTCAATTCCTGTGCCTCTAGAATTATCCCAACAGTCTTTCAGGTTCCGTCTTTCCGATCTGTTTACACCTATCACCAGCAATAACCCAATAAAAGCTCGAATTACCATCATGTTTGTTTGACGAGCATCTCTGTCACGTTTATATTTTGATTGAACTATATTTATATAAATATTTGTGGATTCAACAATAATCTGCAAGTGACTCGTCAAAAATAGCTCGAAACAAGACAGTGGAGACTGGGCGTTTTTAGCGTTACCTTTAGGTCCACATTGTTGTACTAAAATATTGTGCGATCTAGTTCTTGATGACGGTGGTGGTGTTTTGTTCCAACGAGTGCCATTTCTAGACTGGTAGTAGTTTGAGAAAGTACTCAGAGGAACATTGTCGTCGCTTGAAAAACTATTCTCCACATTTTCTTCCATGTCTTCATATCTACCCTCTCTTCTGTGCTCCTTTCTTCCGTCTATTCTATGCTACTTTCATATTCTTGCTCTGTTTCTGAGTCATGGTTTAGCTCTGTAACACATTCCTCTTCATTATCTTCTGTATCACTCGGCGCAATATCACTCATAACCTCCACATCTTCTTCCAACCAGCATCGTTTTATATAATCCTGACGTTCGTCCATAATGGCGACAAATCTGTAATGAACAACACAAAATTCATAGCAAAATATACAAAAGTCTTATAGAAACTGAAATCATCTCGAATAGAAGAAAAATAAAACCAATACTTACATGAAACGCTTAATAATCGAACGAGAGATTTTGTAACGCCGATACTCGCGTGGGGTGAAATTCCGTCCCGAGCACTTTCCCGCCTTTTTTTTTGCCACTAGCGCACGCGTCGAGTGCCGGCGCCGTACCGACCTTGAACCTAGTTTACTTGACTAGGATTACACTAAGCGACACATTCTGTATTCAAATAATTTAAAAAATATGGATGAAAGCATTGGTCTGGGGTGAATATTCACCCCGCGCGAGTACTGCAGTGTTAAGTGTGACATTATTTGCTAGACTATTTAAAAAAAATTGAGTTCTTATTATGTACCTTTTATTTATTTGTGCTACAGGTATGGATGGCCGAACAAAAAACTGAGGCATATAAGAAAAAGCAAGAAGAACTGCGTGTTCAATATGAAAAGGAACAAGAACTACATGAAAATAAGTAAGCTGCATCTAAATTATAATACTATTATTGGAAGGGTATCTTTTAACTTTTAGTAATTCATTGATAGTACTAGTAGTACCCTGAGGTGACAATGCATTTGTTGCCTTCTTTGTTTCAAGTTGGTTGCAAGTGTCCATAGGCTGCAGTGTTCACTGAACATCAGGTGAACTTTAAGTTTGTTGGTCACTCCAACTTTATATAGTAAGAAAATAAAAATAACTTAATTTATTTCTGAGATTTCTGAGATACTTTGTAAGAGCGATGGAATCATAAACTAAATAATATAAATTTTTTACCATATATTTATGTAATTATAATTTAATTATTGATGATGACGTCAACAGATAGCGCAGCTGTTTACATTGGGAAAAAAATAGGTTCTCACAAACACTCGAAATGTCGAGAATTAAAAGGAACTTAAAAGCAAATGGGATAAAATCCGTAAAAGTAGTTTTCTTCTTCGTTGTCATCATCAGCCCATAAACGTCCACTGCTGGATGTGTGCCCCTTCTGTTGTACTTATAACCTTGATCTTTACGCTTGGATTAATGACCGCAGTAACAGATGTCTCGCACCTTTGACCCTATAGCCCATTGCCGTTCTGGTTATTTTACAGCTGGTGCAAAGGAGATGAGTATATCCCCATCTGTCTCAAGGCATCAGATTTCTCTGTTTTATGTTTTTAGCTTTATTCAAGTATGCTTCATATTAAAATAGTGCTTTCTTACCCTTAAAACTAACTCAGAAACAAATTCGCAAGCCTTGTAGTGGCGGTGTAAGAATATCCACTACTCCATATCATCTCATTTGTTTTGTAAGAGACAACAGAGAGAAAAAGTAAGCAGTAGCATCTTTCTAATAATAGAATTCTTAGGAAATAAAAAGAACTTTTAGAGTTTTGAGGGTCCTAATTATAACCATGTTAACTTCTAAATTCATCCTATGAAATACCTACCCAGAAAAACCTCATTTTTCCACTTTGTTGTTGTTTTCACCGTGTATTTTACTATTAATAATGATAAAATTTAATAACAGGGCGTTGCTAAGTAAGGACAGCAAGGATAAACTGAGCTTGAATTTTATGTATGAACCTCCGCCTGGCGTGAAAAAAGAAAGAGAACGTGAAGACAATGAACCTGAGTATAAATTTGAATGGCAGCGTAAATACAATGCGCCAAGAGAGAGTTATTGCAAAGGAGATAATGAGATAAGAGATCAGCCGTTTGGGATATTGGTTAGAAATGTCAGATGCATCAAATGCCACAAGTGGGGTCACATAAACACAGGTAACCATTTTAACACAATAAAAAAAGTTGGTCATTTTTAATTAAATACTAGTGACCCGCTAATAATTTGGCTGGGGTGGCTTGTAATTTATATTTTATTTAATTAATTAGTTAATGCATTATTTATTTGATAAGAAAAGCGCACAATATAGAGGTACAGAATGAATAATAGTACTATGTATAGAAGTTGCACTTCTTTGATTACTTGCTGATGTCTTAATGGAGTAGTCCATAATTATTATTAATTAGAAAATTGACATACGCAAGCTAAATTAAACTTTATCGCTACTAACTACTACTAGAACTATTGTATAGGTAGACCTTTTTTAATATTTATTTAATTTACAACTGTTTTACTTTAATATAATGTCATATTTTTTCACCGTCTCTAGAATAACAGTTATTTTTGAGAGTAGAAAATACTCTGATTTATTAAAATGTTTCGTTTAGATATTAAGATTTTTTAGTTTTTTTTTTTATAGGTTATGGTGACAAACGAGCAAACAGTCCACTTGATGGTAAGTGGTTGCTGTGACCCATAGACATCTACATCTATCCTTGATTACGAATCAAAATGCAGATACTTTGTCACCCGTGAGGACTAAAATGGAATGCCTCGTTTGCAGTAAAAAGGGTTTCTAGTTTTCTACACTCACCATACGAAACACAGCAGCATTAAGCTACTATTTTACGCTGGTATTCTGTGGTGGTCCTTCGTGAGTGACCCATTTGTGCTACAACTATACTTCAAATATAACTGCAGCATGGCTCTACCACGTATGAACAAGTTTTCAAAATTTTTTAAAGAATATTTTATAACATAAGGAAAGTGGGGCAGATTGATGTGAAAAATTTCTAAGCCACTTTTGAGTACTGAAAGAACGTTAGTGTATATTTTTTATGTTTTCTGCATTGATAAATCTTTAAATATCACAAAAGTATTCAAAAGAAACAGTCTAATTAATGTATAAAAAAGTAAAGCTTTATTTATTTAAAAATAAAGCCACGTACGGGGCACTTAGATACACTACTTGGGGCACATTGATAGTAACTAACAGTTGTATGGAATTAGTACTAATTTGGGAGACTAGTAAGCTAATAATACTTTTATTTTTCAGAGATCACTGCCTCTATCATTGAGTCTAACACGTCATTTTAACCATATATCTTCTTCATAGAAACTTTCCATAACTGAACACAAAAAAACTTAGTTTTCTTTTGATATAAATCAATCTAAAAAAATAATAACACGTATAAAAACGAGGAAAGACATAGACAGGAGGAAGGGCAACACCTGTTTCAGTTACTATCCCGCAAAATGTTGGTTCTACTCTCTCTAGCTCTCCCCTATTGGCAGACACCAGTTGTCTTTACTTGCCTCTGTGTGTTTTCAGCTAAAACTTTAGGTGTAGATAAAACACTAGTGACTCCAGTTTCGTCAAGGTTAATGATACGGTCAGGAGCAAATGTATAACGTAGCATTACACGCTCACAACTGTCAAAGAAATAATTCACTGCTGTTCTATTAAAAGAGAAACTTTGTGCTGCGATTGTGTTTTCTGGTTTTCTGAGGCTAAGCTCCTGGTTCCTCATTCTAAATCCTCTTGACCAGTACTTTCCAGTACATTCATATTTGACACTTGAGTATTCGGAAAATTCGTAGGCCAAAACAAAAAGTTGCTGTTAGGACAACCCATAGTGCATTTTGCTAAAGTTCAACAATTATTTTGTAAGCATTTTCTCTTCTTGTTTTGAAAATACTTGCTACAGTGTATTTAGAACGATGCTTAAATATCTTCAAAAGATTTTCGAAATTTTTCGTTACGAGTTACAATGTTGCAGCTTTCATTATATACTTATCAGCTACTACATGTACAGATAATTGCTTCGATGTAACGTCGGATATGGCAGCTTTCATATTTTCTTCGTTTATGTTGCATTGTTTAGTCTTTGGTTTATAGGTCCACACCATTTTATAAAAAAAAGGAATAGCTAAATTAATAACTAGTTACAAAATTTACATTGGGGCAGAATGATACACATCAAAGTGCCCAAGAGTTTACCGTATCATTGTGCCCAACAGAGGTTTTTGTAAAACTTTAACATCATTTTTATTTATGTTGATTTTTTGAGCAAAAAGCATTAAACTAATATTTATAGATGGTATAGCTCACCTTTAATATGTATGTATAAATATTTCAAAGAAGTTGTAGAAAGTGAGTGAAACTCATTTTTATTCCAAGTGTTTTTTTTAGTAGGGCGAACACAAAACACAAACGATCTCGCCTAACGCCATCGGCTAACTGGATGGCGGTGCGGCCGCAAGTGCCGCGCTAAGGCAAACATATACAAGTTTATGGAGTTGTCACGACTCGATTACATCTAATCCATAAGGATATATGTTAGGTGAATCAATCTGCCCCTTGCATCTAACTGCCCCGCCTCCCCCTACATACTAGCTGGCCAGGCAGACTTTATTCTAGCCCCTCCGACGACCCTTTGTCCTATAAAAATCTTTAAATTCATAATAAAAAAATATTGAGGGTCACTTAGCTTAGGATAAACGCTATCCCAGTGTGCAAAATTTCATTAAAATCAGTTCAGTACAGAGACCTGGAGCGACGGACAGACATACGAACAGTCACTTTCTCGTTTGTCTGTCGTCGTTCCGGGTGATATTTTGAATATAGCTCAAATCCGGATAATAATTTGTAGGGATGATAATTGATAAAAAAAAACGTGGTATATTTTTTAATATAAAATTTTATACAAATATTTTGTACCCTATAACTAAATAAAAAAATAAACAGCTAACAAAAAGATTTATACAAGTATTTACAAAAAATCTATTTTCGTAAACGGTGTTAAAAAACTTTTAAATTCACTCATACGTCGCTCTCTGAAACGGGCTAGCCTTGACTGCGTATGTAACGTGAGGTTCCGCGCGATTGTATGTATTTACAACATACAGGTAGCAAAAGTGACAAAGGCCTGGTAGGGTTCCGTAGTTGCCCGTCACACTTCCAAGAAGATTTAAAAGGAGTGGTTTTCAAAAAAGATTAATAAAACTTTTTGATTTAACATAATCTACGTTAAATCATTTACATACAAACAAAAATGGTCATAGTTACCTATCTATCTATTAGTTTTCGCCAGCGCAGCCCTAAGATATAAATGACCGTAACGAATTTTCCCCTCAATCATCACTGCCCTAAAATATACGCCCGCGTAAGAGTACCACGAATGAAACTGTAGGCTTACAATACTCGTAACTACTAACTAAATGAAATATAAGCGAAAGTGGTATGTCAGGAGCGGTTTCTGCCAAAAAGGAGCTTAAAGCTATAATAGTAAAACATAAGTCATTATTTCTTCAAAAAAATTTAGTTTACAATAACATTACAAAGTTGTAATGCAGCTAGTTTTTGTTTGTGTAAATTGTTTACTAATCCAAGTGCATTTTATAAGTTGATCGACGTTTACTCGTTAACTTGTTGAACTATCTTAGCTGTGATAGTTTTCCTTGTAATTACTTAATATATATATACTATGTGACATACTTTTTACATATTTAAAAACATCAGTGTAGTTGGTAGTGGTGAAACACATAACTCAAATAGAAAATACCATTTTCGGTGTAACACAACTCAAATAAGAAATATCATTTTAAAGCTGAATATTTCCCTAACGGACCCCTGAACCGAAAAAACTGTTCCACACCCTCAATGTTTTTGAAAGTCATATCCAACGACACCCCACGTGATGGAAATGGCATTAACCCTTCAAGCGCCATAAAAATCCCATGCAGTCGCATGCACCCGGCAATACCCGAGCGGTGGCATGCGACCGCACCCACCCACAGCACTTAAAACCATTAAAAGTTTATACAAAATTCTCTGTCTTGTGGTTTAAACAAAAGTCAGGTTTTACTTCATTACAAAAAGATTTTATTGTATTTTGATAACAAAAAAGACATACCAAGCGAATATCGGCAGCCTGAAAATCACAATTATTTCAATATAAATTACTCGAAATTATTTACGTAAAAAGATAAATTATATTCACACAATAACATTCACGCGAAATGAACGTAGATTATAAATAAATATTCATAGGATAACAGTTTTTTTATTGCACTAGAGGATAGAGTATTTCATATTGATTATAATGCCAAACTTCTTCATAGAAAATTAGTCTCTATATATAAGTTTTTATGGGGTTAAGTGCTGTGGGTGGGTGCGACCTCATGAGACCGCTAGGGATTTGACAGAATATAGCCGCGGTCTCATGAGACCGCTAGGGGGTTGAGAGGTTAAAAAAAACTCTGTTGGACAACAAAACTACACAAAATAAAAATATTTTTCAAGATTTTATAATTTTGTTGGCGTGATTATTAGCTATAACGATGTGAATTATAGCTTTGTAGCAACTAGGGCGCTTAATAAAACCGCGAACAGACGGGCGGTCATGGAGAAGCTGTAAGAGAGCCTTGTTTTATTACTGCGGAACCCTAAAATAAAAAAAATTTGTAATTATTTTTATAATAATGAACAATAATGCTTCTTCATTGGGAATATCCAATGACTCCGCCCCACACGATGGAATAGGTGGGTAAAAAAAACTACCTGTGTTGGAGCTACACAAAATAAAACTATTTTTCAAGATTTAATAATTTTGTAGTCGTGATTTATTTATTTTTTGATTAACTATCTCCAATTATAGTTTTGTAGCACCTAGAGCGCTTAGTAAAGCCGCGGACGTACGGGTGGGTGGACATGGAGAAACAATTGAAGTTCCTCATTGTATTACTGGGGAACCTTAAAAACGAATAAATTTTGTTATTATATTTATAATAATAAACAATAATGCTTCTTCATTGGGAATAATTTCGTTATTGGTTAATAATAATCTTTACCTACGAACTTATGATGTTCTTCTGGTAATAAAATGTACAAAAAATACTAACTTTCTGACATTCTTGAAGATTTCTTAATTTTTTTTTAAAGCTTTACTTAGTGAATATATCCCTCAATGAGCCTATTTTTAGTATTGAAGGTTGTGATGAAGGAATAGTTGGATAAACTACTTTTTCAGATAAGGAATGCTCAATGTATTCACTGTCAATGAGTGAAGCTCGAGCCTTGCAAGCATCTTCATCAACCCAAGAGGAAGAAGAAGAGAAGCCTGATGTACCAACACTAATGCAACAGATGCGCGATACAGGCTTAGTGATGAAACCTGGTGCGTTACCATTAGCTGCCACTAAAATTGAAGAAGACGATGCTTCTGCCTTAACCGAAATGGATCTGATAAGTCAGTTGACAAAGAAGCAAAAAAAGAAATTGTTAAAGTAAGTGATTTTTCTAAGAACATTTTAAGTACAATTTTAATAAAAGTATTCATTAGGCAGGTTTACTTAATGCTAGGTCCAATATCTAATTGAGTTGAAATACTCCATTATTTAATTAGGTACTAGATTTACGAAAGTTGACTGATATTTTGAATTTTCCCACATGCTCAGTGGTGAAGTAAACCTGTATGTGACATTTGACTATACGGAATGAGGCATCGCTATGGACATTTCCTTACTTTAAAACTCCCACTCCCTGTTTACACCAAGGTATACTTGTATTCTAAATGTTGTGTCAACTGTTTTCCTTTATTGTCTACATCTAAAACAAGTTATGGGAATGATTCAAAAATGTTTTCCTTTTTGAAACAGGTTTTTAACACGTCTTTTGTGACATTTCTTTTATACTCGTATAATAGTTCAATTTGGCTCCTTTGTGCACAGATACAATAAAAACGTGTTTAATACTAGATCAGACTAGTTTCGTTAGATCACAATTTGCAGTGAAAAACTTTCAACTTGTCTTTGACAATATATAAGAACATGTCATAGACTAAATGTGTATATAAATAATGTATTTTTTATTTTGCTTTATAAAAAACGTTACACCCCAACACAGGATTTTCTTCTGTATCGTGGAGGCAGTTTACAAACATAAATTGCACAAGGACAAACATCCAGACCTGGGACAATTATTTTGTAGGCCATATGCTTGTTACGGCAAATACTTGTTTTGTGTGGGATTCGAACCTGCTACCTCCAGTGCAGCAACTCATTGCTAAGCCACTGTGCCTCGGAGCCGTCAAATTAACGTTATACTTATTCATCTATATTTAGTTATGGCATTATCATAATGAATAAGTACTCCAGCACGCAATTTTCCTCGACATTTATTCTTTAGTTCTTCGCATAGTTTTTGATTAATTATTTTTAACAATCTCCGGTTATTGTCTTTCCTTTTCTTAAATAGTCGATCAATATTATACCGTCTTCATCCCAGAAGATAGTGGTGGTGGAGTTAGTTTTCCAGCGGATGCAGACACCACCTGGCGTGGAAGACGGTCTTTTCCACACCTTGCTTTGGTTTTTCGTAGCAGGGTCAAAATGGTGAACCCACGTTTCATCTACGGTTACGAAACGAGCGCAAAAAGAATCTAGATATTCTTAAGTTATTGCTAAATTTAGCTTTGAAATTTCAACTCTTGCATTCTTTTTACATTCAGGTTTCTGTTAACATTCAATGAAACCAGCGCGCGGCCACATTTTTAAATTTTAAAGTTTAATTAAAATAAACTGAATTTTCTCAAACGTAGGCTTTAGAATCTCGGCTAAATAACGAATGGTCACACGTCGATCTACCTTAAAAATTTCTTCGATTTTCTTAACGTTTTCTTGCGTAGCGGCCGTTGTTGGCCGCCCGGAGCGAGGGTCGTCATTGCTGGCGGTTATGATGCCACGTTTAAATTCAGGGCTCCAGTTCTAGTTTCTCCATTTGGCATACGATTCAATTTTCCACCAAATGTGAATTTGAATAAAATAGGGTATAGTTTTTAATTTAGTTATTTCTGGCTTTCGCTATCAACGAACTAAGATTCGAAAAAATATAACGCGTTTCTATAACTCATTGATGTGTGTGAAGTGTCTATTCCGAAAACTTTATGATCAACCTAGTAAATTATCTAGTAGATCTATTGTTAAAAATGGAGTTTTCACATACATCATCTCCATAGTTTTGTTGATTTTGTTCCATATCTATGAAAAAGAAATCACAAAGTCAAATTGACATTTTACACATTTGCCAGTTGACAAAATAATCGATATTAGCTAAACAAAGAATGTATGTCTAATAATGTAGGTGTATGTATGTCTATGACTACGAATTGCGTGGAAATAAAATCAATTAGCATATGCTCAATCAATGCCCGTTTGCGTACTTACTGTTCTTCTATACATTTTTGTGTGCCAAGGTACCTTCCACGCAGCTGGGTATTGATGCACTGTAATCAATAAAGTCTTGCACGTATGGGTCGGCACAAACCGAGGTGGAGTACCACGACCTCACAGAATACCGGCATGAAGTGGAAGCTTTGCTTCCGCGTCTCGTCTGGTGAGTGTAGCTGGCTGGAGGCCCGATTCCCCCCTCCCTCCCTCTTAACATGGTAGCGGAATTAAGTAAAGATCTATCCCAGGACCCCTGCTACGCTATCCGTGAATTTCTGCAACATTGCACTGCACAACAGATTTCATTTTAACCTAAGCGCCGTCCACTACCATCTCGAGATGACGAGGCCGGCTCTGCTCTTCCTGACCGAAACGAAGGTGTCCTCTCCGGCTGATGCTTCCTATCTCTCCTACCCGGGGCACAAACTGGAACACTCCTTTGTGCCTCGGACTGGAGTTTGCGTATACATCAGAGAGAACATCTGTACCCGACACCTCGTCAGTCTTGAAGGTTCGGACCTGTCCAACCTTTGGCTACGCGTAGACAGCGACGCCCATCCGCGCGTCTACGGGTGCCTCTATTGGTCCCATAGCCGAATGCCGTAACAGACCGACTCTTCGACCACGTCCAAATGGCTACAGATTCGTTGCTACAACAGATTCCCTCTACAGAGATCGTGATCCTCGGCGATTTTAACGCCCACCACGTTCAACCGATCATGCGGGGAGATCTGTTCATAATTTTGCCTTGGCATATGGTCTGACACAACTGGTTACTTCTCCTACGCGGATTCCAGATGTGGAGGATCATGCACCTTCCCTGTTGGACCTTCTGCTGACCTCTCATCCGGACGGATATCAGATTTCGTCGACGCCCCTTTAGGCTCCTCGGACCTTGTCTTGTCCGGAGTGTGGTGCCACTCACGCTGAAATCGCGGTTGAATTCTGCAGGCTGCCGCCGAGGCACTGGAGTCAGCTGGTTGAGATAGGATGCGGGTTTCTTTGCATCCTACCCTTGGGGGCGGATTTGCTTCTCGCCGGACGATCCCAACGTTGTTGCTGATTCTGTCGCTGATGTGGTACTTCAGGGTATGGAACTTTGTATTCCTTCCTCTGTGGTGCTCATCGGAGGCAAATCATGCAAACAGCCATGGTTTGGTCGCTCCTGTAAAATAGCATCATGCTATAAGCAGGAGTGCTATCAAGCCTGGGCTGACGCATCAATGTCCCGAGATGTAAACACCAGCGCTCTAAAAAGGAAGTATAATTCCGCTTCCAGGTACTGCAAAAGAGTCATTGCCAAGCTCAAGCTCATGAGGTACCTTGAGGATCACCAGCTGATTTGTGGCCGCCAATACGGTTTTTGTCGAGGTCGATCGGCTGGTGATCTTTTGGTCTACCTGACTCATAGATGGGTGGCGGCAGTAGAGTCCAAGGGGGAGGCATTGGCCGTTAGTTTGGATATTGCAAAGGCCTTCGGTCGGGTTTGGCACAAAGCGCTTCTTTCGAAGCTCCTTTCCTACGGGCTTCCCGAGAAATTGTGCAATTTGATCACCAGCTTTCTTGCAGATCGGAGCATCAAGGTCAATGCTGGTGTTCCACAAGGCTGCGTGCTATCACCAACGCTGTTTCTTCTGCATGAACCGGCAACATCCATTGCTATGGAGATGACAGCACTGGTGATGCTCTGTACACCGGTCGTGCTAATATTTCTCGGGAAAACGTCACACAGAAGTCACAAGTTTGCACGTTAACCGCCAAAAAGAACCCCTTTGTCGTAATCTCCTCAGCCAGTATCGGAATTCTCGGCGTCGACGTATCGAGTAACGTGCAGTTTCTTGGTCACTTGGAAGAGAAGGCGAAATTAACCTCTAAAAGGCGCAGGTTCGGCCGCATATGGAATACTGTTCCCATCTCTGGGCTGGGCCTCCCCAGTGCCAGCTTCTTCCACTTGACCGCATACAGCGCAGAGTGGCTCGAATCGTCAACCGAGTGCTTTCCGATCGGCCCGATTCACTCGCGCTGCGAAGAGATCTTGCATTTCTTTGCATTTTCTTTCGCATATATATATATATCGGGAGTGCTCTGAGGAATTTTTCAGATTAATCCCAGCCGCCAAATTTCGTGAACGCACTATGCGGCAAACGTCCCGATACCATCCACACCATCTGGATGCTTGGCGGTCCACCTCTGTACGTTTCACAAGGAGTTTTCTTCCGCGTACGACCTCTCTGTGGAATAGTTTACCATCGGCGATTTTTCCGGACCGATACGACCTGGGGACCTTCAAGAAAAGAGCTTACTCCTTTCTAAAGGGCCGGTAACGCGTCTGCGATTCCCCTGGTGTTGTGGATGTTCATGGGCGGCGGTAGTCCCTATTCTATCAAAAAACAATAGTGGTCGTACTGATTAACTTCACCAGATGTTTTTTGTTTTTTTTTAAAGTTAATTTTACAAGAGCTAATATTGGGATAGTAAAAATCAGAAAAGATAGTTATAATCAATTAATAATTAATTAAGTACTTTTTAATAATTATTATTTCTACAATGTCTTTTAGGTATAAACAATGTTTTTTTTTTAAATAAATTTAGTCAAACTGTATAATGTCCGATTATTTTTTCAGAAAATTGGAGAAGATGGAAAAGAAAAAGATTAAGAAGGAGAAAAAACATAAATCCAAACATTAATATGTTACGAAATAGATTTTTTGTTCATATAACATATTCAGTGAGTTTACAAAAAAAAATATTAACTTGCAGACAAAATCAAGCTCCTGGTTGTCTAAATAGATTTTAATATCATACACCAGAGTACTACTGGCATCAAATGTAATTAAATTAAAATAAAACGTACATTAATCATTCCTCTTTATTTCGCGCATAGCCTAAGCCCTGCCATTATATATAGTTATTTTCATCAATATAATATTTTGCTCTTAATGGATACATAAAATTTACAGAGACGTTATGGTTAGTTTGAGCTCTATCTGCTGCCACTTTTAGAACCAGAACCTACTACTTGTGCAGCAGTGCAACACTACTTATGCAGAGCAATGGTGGGGGCCTTGCGGGGCATGGGGCGGCGTGATCTAGCGCACTTCACTGAGTCTGCTGTACAATACATGCCCTTTTTTCTGTAATTATATTCTGTGGGCTCTGCTGCCTTTACAGCTTCATCAAAATAGACGCGTAAGCGAGGATTTAGGAGTTATTGAGTGTAACGATTCTGGCGGCGGCAGAGTCCCGAGGCACCACGGAGAGAGGCTTCTCTAGCTAGGGGATAGGGGAGGACTCGATGCTTAGACAATTTAACCCAATGGACTCGACTCGCATGATTGTTCCCCTCTGTCAAGGTATTGTATTTAAAAATCTTGTGCACTTATAAAAACTATTTACGGAATCGATTTTTATCATTACGAGAATCGTTTCCGCCGAAGTAGGTGCTCTTTGAAAAATGCAGATCGGTGCAGCGGTTAACGTAACTTGCATAAAGCTGTCAAATACTTAAAAATTACAAAAATATGGAGTTACATTCCATATGTAAGTATTTTTATTGTGATACATGCATTTTTTCTATTAAAATCACTAAAAATAATATGAAATGGAAAACTACCGACTAAGTAATCAGGTACGTAATATGTCCAAAATCGTAGTGATAATCGTAATGTGACAACCGCACTACCCAACAGACTATTTAATTTTTTTTTAAACAATTTCGACCTTCACCAACTAAAAATTAGGTTTAAATTTGAACACGCCAGTACAAACACAGACACTCCTTACGAGATTAGTTTATTTTTGTATTGTAATTTCAACCAACAATGCATAAAGCTTAAGGTAAGGTTTTTCCAAAATTGATGTGTAATGTGATTGCGGATCGATATCGATAATTGTTTTTATTACTTATTGAAGAAGCATAATTTAATTTACCTATTTAATCCATAGATCTAGTACTAATTGACGTTAGAATAGATTGGCAATGCAAATGACAAAGAGCATAGTGTATGCGTATTTTAGAACGAGAAATATAGGCTGGATCATTCACGTACACGCTATCGGCCTATATCGGGCTAGCGTCATTCGTGAACAAACAAATCCCGCTTGTATTTGCAAAATCTCAAGTTTTAAAGTAAAAATTATGGTCACAACATACGGTCAGTTAAAGTCATCAGTTGAATTGATATCAGTTTAAACGGATTTCAGCCAAAGAAAGTTCCACACACACGGTCAGTTCAACTGAACAGTTCAAACTAGGACTGTTGTTATTTTTCAAAATATCGGATTTGCGATATATCGATAATTATAAATATATCAATATCATAAGTTGATATACAGTAAGTCAATATCGGAGTATTATATATCGAAAAAAATATCGATATATCGGCTTTTATTCAAAAAACAACCGAAGTCATTCAGTGTAGTTCGTTTATCTGGGGGCACGGCAGTGCCCCCGCCAAGTCGAACAAAAAAGCGGCACGGCCGTACCATCTTTTCTCGAAGCAATTCAGGCCATTTTCGACCCCTTATAACTTCATGGTCAATAAAACTAGAAGCCTGAATTTTCAGTAACCGAGTAAGCATTTTATAAACATGGTATATTTCAAATTTCATTCAATTTAAACCAGTAGTTTGAGAATTGTAACCCGTCAAAATTTCTTAATTTTGTCACTCACTGACTGACCGATCATCAAAACTCTAAGGCACTTCTAGCAGACATAGAAGCTTCAAATTTAGAATATAATTAGTGTTTAGTGTATAAATCAAGGAAAAACTAAAACATTTGTTAATTTCTGTCCAGGTTTTTAGATACACTAACTGCATAAATAACTTTGTAATCCCATATAAATATATAGAATTACAAAGTTACATTTGCAGTGAATGAATCTGTGTACTTGTATATGTATTACAGGTGTACATAGGTACGTTGTTGGTACTCAAGAAGTAGACGGTACCGGAAAGGTAATAAATTAGCACTATCTTATATACAAAAAGAAATGAGATAACATTAAAAACATAACTTGTAAAAAAACCAAGTCTCGCAACTCAGTTCTTCTACCGTAAAAAGTTGTGAGATCCATGTAATACCAAGTCAGTTGATTTATTCAGTTCCTACTTAGGGGTCCTTCTGTTTTAAGTTATTACGTAATTAGCTAACCTAACAACATTTTATAGTGACCATATCAATTTTAATAGTCTTTTATGTTTTAAATATATAGATTGACTTGGCAATCGCATTAAGCAATGTAATTTAATATAATGCGTATTACTTGTGAGATACATTGTGGTTTCATGCGATGGCCAAGTCAATCTATATATTTAAAACATAAAAGACTTTTAACATTAATATGGTCACTATAAAATGTTAGGTTAGCTAATTACGTAATAACTTAAAACAGAAGGACCCTTAAGTAGGAACTGAATAAATCAACTGACTTGGTATTACATGGATCTCACAACTTTTTACGGTAGAAGAACTGAGTTGCGAGACTTGGTTTTTTTACAAGTTATGTTTTTAATGTTATTATATTTATTAATCAAATTAAATTATAAATGTATGAAAATGTTAGATTATAGTTCTTATTAATTATTGTTAATTTAAATAAGAGAATTATGTGTACCAATATTTTTCAGTAACAGTTTTCAAAAATACTTGTTGTTTTATATGTTAAGAAGCACAAACGCTACAGATGTATCTGAAGAAATCAAATATTTAACAGCCATTTCTGATAGAACGGGAATAAACTGTCTACCCAGCGGACATCGATAACGACAGTAACTCAAGTTCATTAGATGCCTAAGCGATAAAAATAACTTGAGGTTAACATCGAAGCACTTGTTTCGTCGTTTTCTCTATTAGTTCAAATGCAGAGACACTTAATACACAAAATCGCGTCACTTTTACGTATCAAAATCCACTTCAAACTATTATTTAAAATAATTATTTGATTGGTTTGATAACCAAATGTGTTGAGTTTTAAAGAATAATAAAATTTTTGTATTGTATTATTTACATAACACATATATGTACACTATATTTAGTTTATTTTTCTTGTGTTTTCTCCCCTCTTTGTGGTGGGGGGGGGGGGGTATAAATTTTAATTTTTAGTTTAGCAGTGTCACTGATAAAATTACGTGTAGCTCCTATAAATTAAAAATATGAAAATATAAAAATAGTGACGTCACTGAGATCCTATACCCACCTTCGGATTGCACCATCAGAAAGGTGAAATCATCACAGTCATCTAGGTCTTTGAGTACTTTTCAAATGAGTCTAAACACAATGGTTCTATGGAGTGATGTCACTAAGATCCTAAATGCACCTTCGGAGTTCATCGTCAGCTAGGGGATATCATCACAGTCATCTAGGTCTTCATGAACCTTTTTGAAAATGAGTTGAAAAAAACTCGATGGTTCCACGTAGCATCACAGATCCCTTACCCACCTTCTGAGTCAATCATAAGGAAGGTGACATCATCACAGTCACCTTACTCTGCATCCTCCGTAAAACTAAATTCTCTAAATATATAAAATAATAAAAAAAAAATCTAAACAGCACAGAAATAATGTAAGTAGCTACTAAGAAAGTAAGTACTTTCCAGTAATTAAAATGAACTGAAGCCAGCGCACTGGTTGTACAATTTATTTATCAGGTTTTAAGGGGAAATATAACCTCAAATGGCTTAGCAAGATCCTCCGTTATGCAGAAAATATTGCAGCATTAATTTTGAAACAAATATATGGTAAAGTTGAGGATCAATGTTAAGGATTATGTTAGATGAAAACACGATTCCGTAGAATTTTCTCGATAGAAAAAAAATCCAAAGTTACCTCCAAAATAAACAATAAACCGCTGTTATTCATAAAATACTTTAAATTAGATAATCAAACTTTGCATACTAACTGAACTAACTATAAAGCAGTGCTTATGTTATTGACTTTTTTAAAATACCATTATTTTCACTGTAATAAGAAATAACCTAAACTATCGGCCTCTTGAAGCGTGATTTCTGCCACCCGGTCAATTTCGCTTCGGCATTTGAAGGGGGAGGTTGTGTCGCTTACGATCAGAATACACATTACGCAACAGGACGACGTAAAATTAAAATGGGAAATAACCGTAATAAAAATAAGAAGCGACTAGCTTGGCGTTAAGAAACAGGCATAAATATGATAAACCTAATGAAATAAGTGTCTAACGAACTATCTATTTACAGTATTAGTAATTACAAACATGTCGGTACATAGCATACGACGCGCGGGGAAGTGGGGGCGAAGTTAGAATTTTAACTGACTTACTATATCCCCTTAAGGTATACCCGTCGAGAAGATGTGTCGTAATTTCCCGAATGCTGCCCAGCCGAGTTGAATCCGTCGATTGACCTCTCGGTCGAAGTTGGATTTACCTAGTCAGACTATGACACCCCGTTCACTAGGCATCCTGGCTGCGGCGGCCGAAATATTTGTTTAGCCACTTTTAAACAGCCAATAGACGGCCAGTTGTAACCCTTTCTTCGTGCGATATAGACGTGGAAGAACTTGTAATTTTGTTACCTCGTAAAAAACGCAAAGTTAAAAACATTGGATTCATCCTTTTATTCTAGAACGGCACCAAAAGGCTTATTTCATTCCTATTTTAAAAATGTGCGTAAATACCCAGACCGGCTTTTTAACTACATGAGAATGTCAGTGTAATCATTTGATTACCTTTTGGAAAATATGAGAAATTCAATCAAGGGCACTGATAATCCTATGCGAGCGTTAAATTTCTTCGTATCGAAAGTCATTTTTGGTTTCGGGACACAAAATACGTCTGGCTGCTACGACAAGTGCACTGTCTCTGATGGCAGCCACATACACTCGCCTACTCGCTCTGGCTGTGCGCAGCCAACGGGCGACCGTGCAATCCGGCGCGTTTTTATGGCTGCCACAGCTGGGAGTCCGTGGCTGCTTAGATGCGCGGGCTCCCATACACTGTCATATGTTCGACTGGCTGACCGCTAAGCGGTGACGGAGTTAGTCCAGGTAAGACACATCATTGTATTTGTTTGGCGGAAGGTTGCGAAGAAATTTATATTTTTATTTTTTATTATAATGGATTTCTGCAAAGTAACACCTGATTCTATCAATTAACATAACTCTCAACTAAAAATGGTAACATAAAAAACTTTTTTGAAAAAAATATAACCATTTCTAAAACAAACACAAAAAAGTGTAACATAATTACGTTTTCTTTATGTTTTTGTATTTTATTGTAGGTTATGCAAGTATTACTGTAGGTACTATGTATTCTAAATAGGTATTTACTTACCATAGCTAGTTAGCTATAATAGCCCACAGGCAACTCCACGAAGTATGTGCCAGCCAGTGTGAGGATAACTGCGTTTTCGACAGCGCTATTTTGATGTGAGTGGGACTTTTATATAGGTTAATTAAATAAATAAAAAATGTTAGTTTGTAAATTGTTTATTGATTGTTTGTGTTCAATAGCAGTTTGCAGTATTCTCTTAGTACTTAGAAAGTTATCAACAATACGTATATAAACGGAATACTAACAGCTAACTTAGCGATATCGAACTGCTAATAGCTAGACAATGTCCAATCACGTAACGAATTGATAAAGAACACGAACGATATTATCTCAATGTGTAGACAAGTGGCACTTTTGCCATTCGAAATCGCTGAGAAGTCGAACCGTTCATTCGACAACTTAGCGAACGCTCGAACCCATTAGAAAAGCAATACAACATGGCTGATTGTTAGTTTGTTAGTCAGTTGTTGGTATTGTTTGCCTCAATTCGTGATTGTTTCTCGTTTTTCGTAGTTGTTTTTTGATAAATAATTAAATATTAACATATAATTGAATCTAGGTCGGCAGCTTGGAGTCTGAATTTGCGTTCGGTTAACAGGAATAGGCTCACCACATGTTACATGATACTTATAACCTAATTGGAGAAATATGGGTGTAAAGTACAACTCAGCCTAACCTTCCATGGAATACAGACGTCATAAATTACGTACCTATGGAGTATGATCTAATTGCTCCGTATTATCTTTACTCCGATAGTGGTCAAACCATGCTTGTGTTATGTCACTAAACATGCGTAACATTTGGTTACGCTCATGTTCAATCTCTATCCTTCGAGTCTCCAGATCATACAGCTGCCTGTCTCGTTTCTCCTCCTACCGAAGACGTAGATTTTCGATGGCAACGAACTTGCTCGTAGCGAATAGATCGAATGGCGTGTGTGTACGCCTCCGGAGCGCCCTTAATGTTCTTCGTGCAGGGGAAGCCGTTACCCCAGATCTCAGGGTTGATGGCAACCGTCGCCTGCTGGTTGGCGGAGGGGTAGAAGGTGCAGGTTGTACCCTTGAACTCCTACTCGCAGATTGATTGCATAAAGTTGATGTCCGTGTGGGGGTGTTTATGTGCAGTGGCTGCCAGCTAGCAGATGGCGTAGGAGTAGCAGGCGCGGGCGATAAAGCCACAGATTCTGTAAAAAAGTGAACTTGAATTCAAATACCTGGTTAATAAAGTATTTATAAAAAATTTTGATGTAGATAGATAGACGTACGATCGGCTGTTGCGATTGCAAAATCAATTGCATCTTGTTGGTGTGTGGTCAGTGGTGGATTCAGGGCCTGTGTTGGCGATCGGATGAGTTGTGATAGTCCCTGCAAAAAAAAATTAAAATCTTCATTTAAGTTGTACCTAACCATAATATATCATATAAAATACCTTTAGTGATATTACTCATTTAATTATATGAGTAGGTACATGTTTTAAATATTCAAGTGTTCAGTTAACACTGATTTTTAAATGAAGTATTGCAATACTTAAGAAGCCTTGTTCCTGAATGCTGGGCTGACCCTCCACAGTAAATTTTTCCATTGAGTCGACACCCTCTCCTCAAAAGTCGTGAGGGTTTGTCGACTACTCGTCCCACCACCAGTACCACTTGCATAACACCTTATTAGGGATGCTTTTTTTTTGTTTTCGACTTCCAGTCCGCCCAAACCTTCGAAATTAATTAAGCAATATGTAGGAAAGTTAGGTAATGAGTAATAGTGTGTAATAAATAGTAGATGGTTAATAGAGATATAATTAAGGAAAAAGTGATTATTACCATATATGGCTGTTCAATTATTAATTTTTTCCATTTGTCTGCCGATTTATTTACTCCACCACCGATTGAGTTTAATATGGTTGTCGATTCGCACCACAGCCGCTCCGATTTCAAGCGCCCTTGAGGCCCACTTCGGGGATTTGATAGATCGCCGTGACTGCAATTGAACAAAGAATAGGACAATAAGCAACTGATTGTTAGGATCACGTCATTGTTTACATTGAGCATTCTCAAGTGATATAAATCAAGTTCATGGTTTAGGTGAATAATTCCTTACCTACCTTTCCATGAACTCCAAAAGGGTCGAAAATTGTTCACCACTAGCTCGCACTCTTCGTTCCATTACAATTATCCTTAAAAATGAAAAAAAAAAACAGTCAGTTCCCGCTTGTTTATCGTTATAAATATGTAATATACTCACAACCATTAATATCCAAAAAAACTTGTATAATTTTGGCACTCATAATTAATTGACGAAGTTAAGGAACTTACCTTTGAATTCTTTAGTTAATTTTAACACCAAAAACTCCACTTTCACCAAGCAAACTTAATTAATACTTTAACAAGCTATCGAGAATGGTTTGTTTATATTTAGCGCGCCCGGTCGACAAGAAGTTGATTTTTATCAAATGAACGCTTCGACTTAACGTTATGTCACCTTGTCTACCAAGCGATCGAAAACGATCGATCACGTGATATTTCGAAAGCTTATGTCGGTTTCATACATTTCGGAGTTATCTAATTTCGTTATCGTTATTGAAAATGTAACTTTGTCTAGGGCCTCAGGTGGTCAGTTTAGAGGCAAAGATATGTTTTTTTCTGGTGGGTTAGTTTTTGTATAGTTTATTAATATAATCCAAATTTATATATTAGAAAGTATCTATTTTATTAGTAGTAGTTATATGTAGTATAGTAAATTATAATAAAAAATATGAGTATGTCTGAGGTAAGGTTAAATATAAACAAATATTTTGCCAAGTGCGAATCGGACTTCCGAGCTTCTGTACCATCTTACAAGATTTAAATACCTGTACACATAGGTATTACTATCGATCAAAAAAAGCCAAAAATACACGTTTCTTTTTCTAGTAGAAAATCCTTTAATTTCAAATTCATTTTTACTATTTGCTGTTATAGCGGCAACAGAAATACAGGTTCTGTGAAAATTACAACCATCTACGGATCATGAGATGCAGCCCGCTGACAGACATCACGGACAGCGGAGGCTCCGTAATAGGGCCCTGCTGGGTACCCTTCGGGTACGGAATCCTAAAAAGTACTTAGTTGTCCACTCACATCTGCATGGTTCTTTCTTCAAAGGACCATATTAGCCTAGTTCTCGTACGACATGACCAATGTAATACCTGGACTGACCTCTCTGAGTTTTTTTCGGCAGATCGGGTGCTTCTTCTCAGTTTCATGTTTTTGTTGTGTTAAAGTGTTTTTAAAAAAAACAACTTACAAAACAAATTTTATTTATCATTGACTGCGCTTCTTAGATTCTTGTGTACTTACATAAATTACATTAGGTAGGTATATTAGGATATGAGATTCCTATACGTAAGCACGATTATCGAAAATCTAAAAGTTACCTATTCTAATTAAATTAATAGATAATTTTAATATTTTCGATAATCGTGCTTATTTATGAGATGTTTTCGTTAGTTAGCAAATTAAAGTAGTTAAGTACCTAATGTAATACCTGTATCGAAAGTTCATTATTATGTACCTACCTGTTTTCAATTTTAACTAAATGTGCTTCAAAAAACTTATGGGCACATTTTAGCAGCTATATTCATCCCGGCTTCAGCAATGGATACGAACAAACGGAAGCAATTTTTCTAAATAAAGATGTAGATATGTAGGTATTACAACCATAAATAGATAGCAGCGGCTAACCTAGTGAGTATGTGTGAGTGCGCGCTGCGCCCCCCCCCCGCCCGTCCCACTGATCGGGGAAACAATTTGTAGCGAAAGGCAAGATGATTTACAACAAAAAGGAGCGCGCGAAATTTTATAAACAGACCTTTGGTAGTCTGGATGTCATGAAAAATCTATTGAATGTGTCTGTTTAAAATAAAGTTATTTGCATTTTTAACAATTAATCTATCCCAGTACTGTTTTGCAATTTTCGTTCTTCTTATGGTATTTATTTCCGCCCAAAGATGTGCTAGTGTTGAAATTTGGAATTTTCGACGCTTATAACTTTTAAACACACACTTTTTTTACTTTTTTGTTTCCATACAGGGCTAGATAATGATGAGACGAATTGAAATCATTTTTCATTTTAAACGTACACCATCAAACAGTGGAGTAATTGCCAGACTACGGTTGTATGGAAGAATAAGCGACTAGTGTACCCTTAATAGACGTAATTGATAATGTATAGGCGCGTAGTATAGAAAGCAATCCCTCATTTTTATACATTTATCCCATTGGTGCGACTAAAAAGTTTATAAGGCAGTGTTTTAGACCATATACAAACAATTTATACTTAAATGGATGGGGAAAATTATCACATTTTATAATAATTATCATCTGAATGTAAAGCATTTGAATTTAAATTTAATTACAAATACGTGAAAATCTCAGATGGTTAACGCCGCGGTAGCTCAGATGGTTAACGCACGCTGTAAATATAACAGAATGCCAGTAACCCGGATTCGATCCCCGCCGGCACTAATAAAATTGTAAATTGCAATTTTAAGTGCTGATTTACCACGTGCTGGGCGGTGACGGAAAACATCGTGAGGAAACCTGCATGTCTGAGGAATAAGAAAAAAATATTTCGAAGGCATGTGAAGTTCGCCAACGCGCATTGAGGCAGCGCGGCGGACACTTCCTTGCCCTAAAACCCTCTCAGAAATGAGGGCAGGCCTGTGCCCGACATAGGGACGTATATAGGCTGCAACTTTACTAACATAAAAATCTGCTAATTTTAACCTCACTTTTGTAGAGAGTGACATTATCGATAATATTGTTACGAGCTTAAGGTTCGTGACGATAAAAACTGCCGATTGAATTACCAAACTTGACACTTTAATTGTCGAACACCAATTAAAACTTAAAACACACTAATAATTAATCACACTTAACACTTTAGTGCACTTTATGTCGCTCCTAAGTCTTCACTTGTATTGCCAATTCAATAGTGCCCGGTTGCGGTCCTTAACGCCTTTTTATAGAACCTTTTCTACTAAAACATCCAGAATGCTCGAGCACATACCAGTCCTGACCGACTAGGTGTAGAAAGTTCTCTCCCAGTTCCGCCACTCGATACTAGACGGCGCTAGTGGGAAAGTTCTAGAATGGAACTTTCTAGAAAGCTCTCCTTTCTCTGCTACCGACACTAGATGGCGCTAGTGGAATTTACTGGCATCAGCTATGGCGCGCAACATTATTATTAATAAACATGTTGTATTATTTACTCACTAAGTCAGAACTTAAGAAATGGCAGTTATTTAGAACCACATCATCATTATCCATCTTTACCCTTCTGCCCTCATCGCAATTGATTTGAGTTTGGCAGCATGTCTTCTCCTCCGCGTCGCATGTCTATAGCGTGGTAGAGCCATGCTGCAGTTATATTAATAGTATAGTTATAGTTGTAGCATGAATGGGTTAGCTCGACCGGGGAAGGACCACGCTCTCACAGAATACCAGCGTAAAATAATAGCTTAATGCTGCTGTATTTCGTATGGTGAGTGTAGAGAACCGGAGACCCTTTTTACTGGAAATAGTCCTCGGGGGTGACAACGCAACTGCATTTTAATTCGTAATCAAGGATAGATGTAGATGTCTATGGACCACAGCAACCACTTATCATCAGGTGAACTGTGTAGTTGTTTGTAACCTTATCCATATCCATACTAATATTATAAATGCGAAAGTGTGTTTGTTTGTTTGTTTGTCCTTCTTTCACGTCGCAACAGAGCGTCGGCATGGCATGATTTCTTGTATGGGGATATTTCGGTGGCTGTAGAGTGACATAGGTTACTTTTTTCCGCGGAAAAACATCTCAATCCCGTGGGACAATACAATATGTTGCAAAAGTTTGTCCTTCTTTCACGTCGCAACAGAGCGTCGGCATGGCATGAATTTTTGTATGGGGATAGTTCGGTGGCTGTAGAGTGACATAGGTTACTTTTTTCCGCGGAAAAACATCTCATTCCCGTGGGAAAATAGAATATGTTGCAAAATTAAATTCAGCTAGGTGGCGCCACCGTGATTCTACAAGACGGACGACGGTACGATGGACGAACACAGAAGGTCAGAATATCTGGATTATTATGTCTTTTTACCATAATTAATATAAAAAATTTATGAATCTGTATTTTTCCACGCAGGACCGGGAATAAAAAACATTAAATTCACCAGCTGATTTTCTTCAAACGTTTTGGAGCATTGTAATTCACAGAATAGGCGATAACCTCGCAGATGATATTAAGTAATCCGTTGATGCTCTGCCTACCCCGCAAGGGTTACAGGCGTGATTATAAGTATGGATCAGACATACTATCACCACCTGTAACGCTTTCACCCTTAACTTTTTATTTATTATATATATATTACTTAACTGTGGTAGAAACAGTTCTTAGTAAGCGTTATTAATAAGCCTTAGTAATATTTATTGAACGGAAATGAATACAGTTCTTATATGTGGTTATGAATGAATCGGTATTACAATAAGAAAAAACATTTAAAACTGCTTTAGAAAACCTACCTGAAGAGGATTATAAAGTCGTCATTCACGCAGATCGGACCACTCGAGGAGAGCATGAAAGGCGCTACAATGCACCTTTGATAAACGAAATAGCAGCCGTAATTAGTGGTGATCAATTTTCTTCACGAGACATTGTCTTGCGAGCACGTGATGATACGTTGCAACGGGTAGCCGATACACACAAGTTTTATGACGCTCTGTAATACCCATTGATTTATTGCAAAGGACAAGAGGGTTATCATTTTCAAATTCCACTCATTAACCCGGTCACAAAGGAGCCTACTCCGAACAAAAAAGTATCATGTATGGATTTTTATGCGTATCATATGATGTTGCGAGAAAATGATTTTAACCTCTTAGCCCGGTGTAGACAATTATTTCATCAATTTTTGGTAGACATGTATGTGAAGGTAGAAAGTGAACGGCTCTGTTATATATCTTTAAATCAAAAAAAAAGCTGCGCGTTGAGAGTTATATACATTTACAAGATGCAGTTTCTAGCAACGTCAATGTAAACCCCAGAGATTTAGGTAAAATGGTAATTCTGCCCCCATCATTCGTTAAAAGTCCCCGCTACCTACATGAGTACACACAAGACGCATTCGCCTATGTACGAACTTACGGAAGACCTGATCTTTTTGTTACTTTTATTTGCAATCCCACATGGAAAGAAATAACCGAGGAGCTAATGCCGGGCCAAAAAAGTACTTACAGACACGATTTAGTTGCTAGAGTATTTAGATTAAAAGTACAAAAATTAATGTATGTAATTAACAAAAGGAAAATTTTCGGAGAGGTGCAGTGCTTCATGTATTCAATTCATCATCCTCTAAACCATTTCCCATTATCTGGGGTCGGCGCAGTAAATCTTCTTGTTCCATTCCTCTCTATCAGCCGTCATTTCCATACTTACTCCTTTCATTCTCATATCACTCTTCACACAATCGATCCATCTTTTATTCGGCCTTCCTCTGCCCGTGTGTCCCTCCACATTCATATTCAACACTCGTTTTGTGACATGACTTTCATCCCTCCGCATCACATGCCCAAACCATGCCAATCTGCTTCCTCTCACCTTTCCTACCACTGGCGCTACTTTCAGGCTTCCTCTTATATACTCATTCCTTATCTTATCCATCCTTGTCACACCACACATCCATCGTAACATTCTCATTTCATTCGCATGCAGTCTATTTTCATCCTTCTTCTTGACGACCCAGCATTCACTTCCATACATGACGACAGGTCGGATGATCGATTTGTAAATTTTCCCCTTCAGCCTTATTGGCATTCGGGGATCGCACGTTGTGGCTGTGACCTGTCGCCATTTCATCCACCCTGCGTTAATCCTATGCTGCACAGCTCTATCTATTTCGCCGTCGCCTTGAATGAGGGAACCGAGGTACTTGAATTCTGAGCAGGTAGGCAGTATAGCGCCATCCAACGACATGGGTACAGGACTGGAAAGACCGCCGAAATCACAGCACAGATATTCGGTTTTGGATCTGCTGATCTTCAAGCCAACACTTTCCAGCCTCTGTTGCCACCCCGTCAGTCTGCTCTGTACCTCGATGCCTTCTTCCCCGACAAGCACGATGTCATCGACAAAGAGCATGCACCAGGGTGCCTCATCCTGCAGGTCCGACGTCAAAGCGTCCATAATCAGTAGGAAGAGGTAAGGGCTCAATGCCGATCCTTGGTGCAGCCCCACCTCCACATCGATACTGCCCGTAGTTCCCGCGGCAGATCGTACACATGTACGGGATGCTCTGTACATAGCACGGACTAACCTCACATACTTCCCAGGCATACCTTTCATCTTTAACGCCCACCACAAAACCTCACGGGGAACCCGATCGTACGCCTTTTCAAGGTCGACAAAAACCATGTGCAGATTTTTATGCACGCGCTTGTACTTTTCGCACAATTGGCGTAATGTGAAAATGGCATCTGTCGTACCTCGACCGGGCATGAATCCGAACTGGTTTTGTGTTATCTCACACTCTTCTCTCATTCTTTTCTCTATTATTCTTTCCCAGACTTTCATCGTATGTGACATGAGTTTTATTCCCCGGTAACTGCTGCAGTTTTGAACGTCTCCTTTGTTTTTAAAAATGGGGACCAGTATACTACTGCACCATTCCTCAGGTATTTGTTCTTCCTGCAACAATTTACCGAAAAATAAACTCAACCACTTCCATCCATCCGCACTCAGCAACTTCCACACTTCTACTGGTATTCCATCTGGGCCGACCGCCTTCCCATTCTTCATATTCCTAACAGCCATTTTTACTTCTTCCACACTAATTTCTCTCACTAAGCCCATATTCACTGGTGGGTTTTCAAGCATACCATTCCATTCCTTCTCCTCATTCATCAATTTCTCAAAATACTCCTTCCATCGCTTCTTTATACTTTCATCGTCAGTCAAAATCCTTCCAGAATCATCTTTTATACATTTTACATGTGAAACATCTCTTCCATTCCTTTCTCTCGCTTTTTGCAATTTGAAAAAGTCGTTTTTGACCTTCGGGGCTTTCAAGGGACCGATATAATTTATCTTGCGCCTCTGCCCTACAAATAGCAACTTCCTTCTTTGCTCTCTTCTTACATTCTTTATACGCCCCTCTCTTACTTTCTTTTATGGAATCATTCTGGTCTTCTACGCTCTGCCATTCTTTAAAGGCATTTTTCTTTTCTCTCAAAACTTCTCTAATACTTTCACTCCACCACCACCCATCCTTATCTATCATACGCTTCCCTTTTGTTTCTCCTAACACCTTCCTTGCCACACTTCGGATACAATCAGCCATTTCCTTCCAGCACTCATTCACACTCATTCCTTCCATATCACCCATCTCTATCATCTTGTTTACAACTAGCTCTCTAAATTCACTTGCATACTCCTCCTTATGCAACAAATGCCACTTTATTTTGGGTGGGGGACGATCCTTATGTTTGTTGAGGCGAACAGTTAAGCAGATGTCAGCCAGCAGAATTCGGTGCTGGGATACTAAGTCTTCACCTGGAAGCACTTTGCAGTTTTTTACACTCTTGATTTGGTTCCGTCTTATCAGAAGATAGTCGATCTGTGTCGCGTGGTGGCCACTTTTATAAGTAACAAGATGCTGATCTCGTTTTTGGAACCACGTGTTTACTACAGCCAGGTCGAAAGCACATGCTGCTTGCAGAAGAACTTCCCCCTCACGGTTCCGCACTCCGTACCCCCCATCCACCGTGTACTCTTTCATACCCGTCATTCACTCTCCCTACATGTCCATTAAAATCTCCTCCCATATAAACATCCTCACTCTCAGGTATTCCCATCATCATACAATCAAATTCCTCCCAAAACTTCTCTTTCACACTCTCTTCACAGCCTGTTTGCGGAGCATACACACTTACAACATTCACTACTTTGTTTTCAATCATTAATTTAACAACTATCATTCTGTCATTTACTCTTTTCACATCTGTCACTCGTTCTTTCATTCCACTATCTAACACAACTCCTACTCCATTTCGCTTCCCATCACTTCCACAATAATAAAACTTGTATCCTTCCCCAATCTCTCTTGCTTTATTGCCCTTCCATTTTGTTTCCTGCAAACAGGCAACATTCACTCTTCGTCGTTTCAAAACATCTGCTAACTCTCTTCCTCTTCCAGTCATCGTACCTACATTCCAGCTTGCAAACCTCACTCTGACATTCTTCTCTCTCCGGGCTCGCCTCTTACGTCGCACCCGCTCCGTAAGGTGCGACAACCCTTGCCCACACACACT